GAAAAGTGCATCAGTACACCTGGTACCGGGAAGCTTATGCACAGAATTGAATGATCGACTTGATAATCGTGTAGTCTCATTCATGACGGTCTGTAATTAACGTTCGCGTCAAAACAGGCGCAGATCTGTCAACTTTTCACCACCTTTTTGTTGGCATGCTGTGCTGTAAGAAATGGAGTACCATACGAAGATCCGGTGACAGAAGCAACCGGAGAATCAAACGGGAAACGTTGTCTTCGGTGGACACGAGAGTGAAATTTGCAAACAACATCGCACGACGGTTTGAATAGATCCCAGTGATGTCAACTGATGTTGAAATAGAGTGGCAGCTCTTTAAGAGCGGCATACTCGAGGCTGCCGCCGAATGCTGCTGATTTAAACGGGTTGACCTGCGGTCTGGAAGTCGGGAAAGAACTTCCTGATCAACACTTCAACAACTGGCAGTCAGCGAGAAGAAGGATGCAATAAAGAAACGGCCTAGAGGCAAAGAGCATTCAACTCACATACGGTACGTAGAAGCACGCAAAGCATCAGCAAAAACAGTGGCTAATGGCAAAGCTGATTCCTGGACGAAGTTCGGGGACGTGTTCGAGTCGAATTCCCAAACGGCAAACAAGGTGTTTTGGCGGACCATTCACCGAGGTGAAAAGAAAGGCAATCAAAGTGTCTTGAAGGACAAATCTGAACGACCTCTTACCGAGGATAAGGACATTCTTCGGTGATGGACAGAATACTTTGAAAAATTCTTTAACTCCGAGCAACTGCAGCAAGACTCGACTGTAGAGCAGCAGGGAAGGGATACTACCATTTCTGTAGATGAAATTACACAAGCTGTGAAACGCTTGAGAAGTGGAAAGGCAGTTGGAACTGATGAAATCCGCCCTGATATGCTCAAAGCATTAAGCGGAAAAGGCACATGCTGGCTTACACGTGTATGTCAAACTTCAATGGCTACTAGAAAGACACCAGCGGACTGGAAGACGGGGGTTGCTGTACTCCTGCTGAAAAAGGCAAATTGAAGTGAGTTTTCCAATTATTGAGGCATTAGCATATTGCGCATCCCAGGGAAAGTCTACGCAAAAGTCCTAGAAGGGAGGTGCCGCTGAACAACTGACTCCAAGAAGGAGCAAAAGGAGCAATGTGGCTTCCGGCCTGGTCGAAGCACCTCTAACTACATATTTTTCCTACATCAGATTGTTGAGAAATCGTGTGAGTCCGTTAATCCGTATACACGTGCTTTGTTGACTTAGAGAAAGTCTCTGACTGAATCCCGCGCAACGGTTTATGAACATGCGTGCGAACATACGGGATCGATTTTCAGTTGCTACCGGCCATCCAATCAGTATATGCTGATAGCAGGTGTTGCGGCAAAGTAAATGGCGCTATGTCGAAGTCTTTCAACGTTTGCACTGGTCTCCGCCAAGGCTGCGTTATGTCCCCTCTCCAGTTTGTGTAACACATGGATGGAATAATCTGGAGCAGCGAAGACGACGAGTAGAAGTAGTAGGTGAAGGAGATGTGGAGACGATCTTGCTTTACTGGCATCTCCTGAAATTGATCTACAGTGCTCCCTAGAAAGGTTCGCGGCCGAGTTCGACGTGACCGGCATGCGTGTGAACGCATCTAAACGAAAAGCCTAGTGCTTTCTCGTTGTCCTGCCCGTTGCTCTCTTCAGATTAACGGAGAGGCAGTGGA